CTCGGCACTGTTGGGTCCCAAGAGCCTTTCCAGCCGAAGGGCACTGTGAGTTGGGAGCTTCTGCTGTAAGACACCATAGGTTGCTTGGCTCCTAGCAGTGGCTCAATATGTAAATGTTCCCACGTTTAAAAGACACCTGTGTGTGCGCACGGGTGGCTGCCCTCTGTTACCGCTGGTGAGCGTGCCGGTCCTGAAGGCCGGATCTCTGAGATCTGGGTGAATTCCCGTGTCTCACTGGTGGCCAGTGCCCCACCGTTTCCTGCGCTGGTGGGGTCAAGCTGTTTCTTCCCTGTAGTCCCAGGTGGACCCTACTGTTTCTTGTCGCTTGGGCCTCGCCTCCTTTGGGACCACTCTTTTCTGGCCCTCTGCCCTTGGGGTCCTCCGTGTGCCTCACACGAACGTTGCTTACCAGATGCGTGCAGTTTTGTGTACCGGGTTTTACCCCTCCGCGCATCCGCAGGCACCGGCTTTATTGGCTGGCTGGCTGGTGGAGAGATGATCGAAGAAGGATTTTAGGAAACATTATAAAAAGAAGGCTGTCCACACTAGCATCACCGTGCCGAGTTGGTGAGCCCCGCACCCTTGCCTGCAGGCATGCCTTGCGTACCGTGCTCGTGGGGGTGCCCATGTGGAGAGGCAGGAGAGTGGTTTTCTCCGTTCACACTTCTTCCTGCGACAGGGTAGAAGCGCACGTGCTTTCCAGGTGAGAGTGGTGGTCAGAATGCCCGGTAGGAACATGCTAACACAGGTTGCAGCCATGTCAGCCATACAGAGGGGAGATGGAATGGTGGCTTATCTGGTCCAGTGTCACAGCAGTGCTTAAAATGGGCTAGCAGGAGTCCTGGGAAGAACCTGTACTTTCTTTGTTGCCTAGAGTTCAACTCCAAGCTTCTATGGACTCTGAATTGGTGGGTGTTCATTTGTTTGGGGTCTTGGAACTCTGGAATTTTGAAAGCTATGGACCAGGGCTTTGCATAGACTTTCAAGGATCCTCCTCCACTCCCCGACACTCATCCATGAATTCATGGAGACCCACAAACTTTACACCTAGAGAAATTGTCTTCTAATAGGACTTATCTCAAGTAGTAGGTGATTAATATTTAAGAAACTAAGTTAGAAAAAAGTGTTGGGTTAGCATTTTAGTTTTTTCTTCATTGGAAAAGGACACTCATTTTTTTTTTTTTTTTGTAATCATCACCCGAGGATATATTGTAAGCAGTGTGGTGGTGGGGGAGAGAAACATCAATGTGAGAGAGACGCATGGATTGATTGCCTCCCCGCACCACCCTGACGAGCGTGGGGGATCAAACTGCAGTCAAGGCATGTGCCCTTGACAGGAATCAAACCTGCCACTCTTTGGTTGGCAGGCTGATGCTCTATCCACTGAGCCAAACCGGCCAGGGCAAAGACGCTCATTTTAAATTATACCTTAAAATAAGTCAGTTTTTTGCTCTGTATGAAGATTTCTATGTAATAGATTTTCTTGATCTAGGTTTCCCAGCATAGCATGGAGTGTACTTCTAGAAATAATGAGAATTTCAGAACCAGTATGCCTCGGTTTACATACAAAATATTTTTAAAATTTATATTAAAATTAGAAGATTTTTAAATATCTTGAAAGCTGTATAAGGGAATTTGGTTTTAAGCCTTTTGTCAACGGTGAATGATCATTTTTTTTCTCTTATACTTGTCTTAATATTGAGTCTTTGTATTTACATAATAGATTTCATTTAGTTCAGTTTAGTTCCAGTATTTATTGAGTACATTTATTAGTAATTCCTTTTGAGATATGCTAAGTATAAAGTCAGTCATGTTAATGTAAGCAGGCTGTGAAATTTTTGAAAGCAACATTAATTTTAGATAATGTTTAACCTGTAACATTCCAGGCTAATTTACACACACAGAGGACCAAGGCTCCACAATGATGGGAAATCACTTCTGCCTTTTTGGGACAACACTCTAGCCGACTGAGCCACCGGCCGTGGCGCCTAATGTACTTTGACGAGCCAAAATGAGACATTGTGTTTATTTGACATACACAGTAGAGAAAATACCCATGGCGTTTGGCCAGCTCCTGGCTGGTCACTGATCTTTCAGGCTTTGTTTTGGTGGTGATGTCATAGGTGAGGAGCTCTCCTTGTCCCCACCTGTTGCCAGGGGAAGTGGGCTTCTTGCCATGTCACGAGAAAAGGAATCTTCTAAGACTCGCATGGACGATAAGATAACGTAGACATTTCTGCGGCTCAAACCCGAGTTTCCAGGGTCCCACTTCCCTCTGTCCCACCGAGGAAGAAGTCCCATTTTGCTTTCAGCAGAGCTGGGATTAAAGCTGTTGGCCAGAGTTTCTTTCTTTTCTTTTTTGAGAGAGAAACATTGATGTGAGAGTGAAACATCTATCGGCTGCCTCCTGCATGTGCACGGGAAGACGCCCAGCCAACCGAGCACCCTGGTCAGGGCCGTGGCCCAGTTTCCTTTCCATGTTCACACAGTGCAGTCCAGCACAGGCTGGCTTAGTCTGTGTTCCCAGCTGCAGTCCGGCAGCCCAGTGCGTGTGCGGTCACGCGGCTTCTCGGCACACAGGGCTATGGAGGGAGCACGGCCGGAGCAGAGCCTGAGGAACGAGAGCCAAGAGCGTGAACTATTTATTGTGGGGGATTATGTGTTCCCAAACTTCTGAGGGCTTGCAGGGGCCCCACCCCCTCTGGCCAGTGATCTCTGGTCCAGGTTAGACTGACAGGCTCCTTCCCTCCGTCACCCCGACTTCACTGTGCATTCATCTGTCTCCCCTTTGTCCCGTCCCTTCCCCCAGTGATCTGCAGGGATGGCTGGTGGCTCCCTGGGGAGTGCAAAGCTGTGCTTCCAGGTGCAGCTGCCCAGATGGCCCTGCTTCGAATGTCTGGCCTCCCTTTGCCCTGTTCCTATTATGAATAACTAGCTCATTACAACAGTATCAGTGACATCACTTCCTGTGTGAGCTGAGGATTGACCAGCATGTTCACATGTTGTCTAGGAAGAGACTGAGAACGGGAGTTTAGCAAGAGTTTACAAATCCTTTTCCTCCTTTTACAAAGCAAGGTTTTATTTGTCCTTTATAAATCCAGAGACAAATAAGCAAGCACTCAGGCCACCATCTCAGCTCAGTGTTTCGGCGTTTTCACACGTCTTTTCTGTGCGTGTGAGTAGCAGGAGTCGGCTGCGTGCGCTTTCCCCTCTGGAGCTGCCGGAGCTGCATTCTCCTGCCACCGCCCGGTTTCCTGCTCCTAGTTAATGGCTTTCTCTTTTCACTGAAGGCTGACGTCATAATTTAGATAGCAGCTTCCCAATTGTTGGCTATTTTGGTTTATCCCACTGTCTTTTTCTTTATTATAAATAAAGCCGTGATATGGCTTGAGGGTGATACCCAAAAGAAAGTCACATGGTCCAAGGTGTAAACGGTGTAACCGTCTTTCCTTTTTTGAGGAATAGTGAATATAGTACAGACTCATTTTCAGTTCTCCCATTTCTTGCTCACTAGCCACTTTTTTAAATCCTCACCCGAGGTATTTTTCTGTTTACCTTCAGATAAAGTGGGAGGGAGAGAGAGAGAGAGAAACATCGACTTGAGAGGGACACATCAACTGGTTGATTCCCACAGGACCCTGACCAGGGCTGTGGACCGAACCGCAACCGAGGTATGTGTCCTTGACCAGAATCAAACCTGTGACTCATTGGTTCGAGGGCAATGCTGTAACCGCTGAGCAAACTGTCCAGGGCACTAGCCACTTTTACTTAGCTATTTTATTAATCTCCTTTCTGTCATTGTTTCCTCCTTTGTTTGAAGAAGCATTTGATTTTATGGAATCAATACATCCCTTCTTAACAGTGGGAATTTCTTGCTGGGGGGCATGATCTTGGACACTGTGTTCTATTTAGTAAATATTAACTAAAGCCCTACTGTGTACCAGAGGGTAGCAACAAGAAGATGCCTAGGAATAGCTCTAAGCTCAGGGCTTGCCCAGGTTCACAACATTGCCAGCCCTGTGATGGGGAGGGTGTTAGTTATTTACTATCCTTTCCCCAGCACCCATCCAGCGGTTCTCAACCTGTGGGTTGTGACCCCTTTGGGGATCGAACGACCCTTTCACAGGAGTCGCCTAAGACATAACAGTAGCAAAATTACAGTTATGAAATAGCAACGAAAATAATTTTATGGTTGGGGGTGGCCACAACATGAGGAACTGTGTTAAAAGGTCGTGGCGTTAGGAAGGTTGAGAACCACTGATGGAAGCACCTAAGAGTACCTGACCCTTGGGAGGAGTTCAGCAATTAGGGAGTGACCGCATAGGGCTGAGTGTGTACACACCCTTACTTAGGACCACTCATGGGGAAGGTTTCTCTATGATGAAATCCTCTGTTCAGTAACTTGAAGTGGTCACTCATGGTCCAGTGTTATGTTTTCAGGGTCATCCGGTGAAATTTCACTGTTGCAGCTGGGCTGATTTATGCACATTTACTGGACACCAACTGTAGGCAGGATAACCTGCCCTGCAGGTGTCTGTAATTAAGGAGGCAGTCAGCAGACAAGACACTGTACTATAAGGGAGATGGAACAGGTGCTGAGAAAGAATGGATGGACTCTAGTTGAAGCCAAGCCACAACGTCAGGCCATTACTCACCTTGTCTGGATTTTGTTCTCTCAACACTTAGGGAAGTGGTTGGCCTGAGCCCTTGGATCTCTTTGAGGCACGTGGTCCTTTGATCCTTGTGACTGGCTCTGCAGAGCTGCGTGCCAAACCCCAGAAGACATACTCCAAAATCAGAGGGATAATAGGACTGTGTTTTCAGTTATTTTTATAGTTGGACCTAATATTTTTAAAGTGTGCATTATATTGTCTTCATGAGCTATAATTTAGTTTACTTACTGAACTTGTAAACATTGGTTAAAAATTAAAATTGTATTTATTGAAGTCCTTGAATGTTATGATCTTAAATATTGACTTTTCCTCTTCTTTCCCTTACAGCTGTTTGGGGCAACTTCGTTAATATGAGGTAATTAATTGTTTTTAATAATTTGGGTATTGTCCTTGGGTTTTGAGGACACATTTCAGTTGTTACATATACACCATTGATATCATGGGTTAATTGAAGTTAATTTTAAAAATTAAACTGAGTATTTTGCTATTGGGCTGTGTCTTTTCCTCTGTGGATCTTCTCGAGGAATGCAGCTGGTCCCTGGCCACGTGGGTGCTGAGACCACCTGTCTGTCCCAAGGACTTTCTCTGCATTATCTGTGTTGCCGAGTAGGGCAGGAGGGACACTTATAAAAGTAAACTTATTGTGTTAATGTTGAAAAAAGTCAGCAAAGCTCAATAAGTGTTCATTGTAAAAACAAATTTGGTGCTGTTGCTACCGTTTAAATGTAAAGAAAAATTCACCGCACTTTGATTTTCTTGGTCGCACACTAAAAGAATAGCAGTGCTCGTGGTGATGGAACTGGGTTGGAAGTTGAGGGTCGCTGTGTGCGGCTGCGCGGGCGAAGGGTGGCTGTGCCTCCACCAGGCTGTTCACGCTGGGGTGGCTTTGCAAGGTGGGCCCTTATTGGCTGCTTTCAGCCACCAGGGCTTGTGTGTGTCTCCTGACAAAGGGTTCTGTGTGTGGCTGGGTGGAGTGTTCCAATCCCACTTAAAGGAGCTCTGTTTATTTACTTGAAAAACTCCATTTTGTATTAAATCCCCAGGAAAGCCCAGAGTCAGACGTGTACTCCTGTAGACACACACCTCCTGCTTTGAAATCCCACGTTGGGTGTAATGTGAAAGTGAGGTTATTGAATAGAAGCAGCTGGTGCAATGGGGAGCCTTTGAGCTGGATTTAGATGTCCTCTGCCTGGCTGTCTGATTTCCTCTAGTGCACCCCTTCAGGAGGGAGTTGGCACATGGCTGATGCTGGGGGGGAGGGTAGTCTGCAGCCTGTGGTATGTGTTGGTGGAAATTGTTCAGAAATAACTCTTGAAGTCATAAAGCTTTTCAATTGATCTCAGTTTTGTAGCTTTCTACTCAACAGGTCTATCCAGGAAAACGGTGAAATAAAAATTGAAAAGAAGATTGAAGAGGTTAGTCTCCTCCATATTTTGCTTCTTCTATTTTTTTTTTCTTTATATTTACATACTTCAGGTCCTTTGCTTGTGCTGGTATCTTTGTTGTAGCAGCTTGATGCTGATCTATGATTTAGAGACCATCTCTCAAAAAATGATCCCTGCCTGGCTGGAGTGGCTCAGTTGGTTGAGCATTGTTCTGTGCACCGAAAGGTTGCTGGTTTGATTCCCAGTCAGGGCCCATACCTGGATTTCCAGTTCCATCCCCGGATGGGGCCTGTACAGACCACCAATCGATGTTTCTCTCTCTCTCTCCACCTTCCTCTCGATAAGCAAGCATGTCCTTGGGTGAGGATTAAAAAAAAATCCCTTATTTAATAGATTAATACTTGTTATGCTGTAGCTATAACTTTGTGTCAGTCTTTGTCCATTTTATAAAGGTGTGCTCTAGTAAAGCAAATTCTATCTTAAAGCTAAAAGAGTTTAAACTTTTATGTGACTTTATGGGTGGGCCTTTCCGGAGTTTCTTAGAGAAAGGGAAGTGATTACCTGTGCCAGGGATGGAGGCAAGTGCTAGCATCCACTCATCCAAGCAGATGCTGAAAGGAAAAAGGCCCATCTCAGATCCTAGGGCACAGGGAACATACAGAGTGTCCATAGGTGCAGATGGGGAAGTCACACACCTATCTCACGGAAAGCTAGCTCCTCTGGTTGGTAACACACCTTCTGTTTTAGAATAATTGCTTATGTTTTAGTCAAATGTAGATATGGATAGACTATTGTAACATGGGCCTGGAAGGAATGTGGAGTTCCTCATTTTCACTTGAACCCAGATGCTGGCTTCCTGGGGAGGCCCTTGGATTGCCCTTGTCGTTCTGCCCACACTCCTGGTGTGGACACAGAGATAGGGGTGGACTCATAGCCTCTGACTTCTGTGCTGGGGCTGATCCCCTGGGGATAACATGCAGAAACAAGATGTAAAGATTTTGTGGGCAACAATTAGGGGAATTTTAGTTCCTGAACAGACATCAGTAGTGCCTATTTTTATAAGCCTGAACCACCTTTAATACTGTCATAGTAAGGTAGGAAAGTAAAAACATTCATTTTTTTAGAGACATATGCATTTATGGAGTATCACTTCCAGTGTGCAATTTATCATGTGGATTCTAGAATTGTGATTGAAGTGCTGTAACTTAACTTCAAACTGCGAGTGAGTCGTAGGAGAAACTAGAATCTGTTTGCATGACGTCATGCCCGTCCGAGCATCAGAGTGAGCTGCGCGTGCTGGAGCTCTGTGTCTGCTGTAGAACTGATACTGGTTATTTCTGTTTTAGATTGTTGAGCCACTTAGAGAGAAAATAAGAGATTTGGAAAAAAGGTATGTATACTTTTTCTTTTGCATTTAGGAATATGCTTATATCTTAGCTATTGATCTTAGAAGGTCAATGTCTTATATAAATTTATCTCAACCGAGTCACCAATTTCTTAGTATGAAAAATATAAGGCACTCTCAAGACAACAACTTTTTCATAACAAGGTAAATTTTTACCCTAAAATTTGGATGAAATGTTTTTAAACTTTTTTCTTTTGTCATTAAGAACTATTTGTTTTCTTTTTTTAAAAATCACTTTTTATTTTTATTTATTTAAAAATATTTATTGTTGGATGTAAAATGTATTACAGATGTTCCACATTTTTCCCCCATTGACACCCTCCTCCCCACTCCCACCCCCCTCCCACCTTTTCCCACACTATTGTCTGTGTCCATTGGTTATGCATATAAGTTCTTTGGTTTATCCCCCCCCCCCCACACCCAACCCCTTTCCCTTTGAGGTTTGTCAGTTCAGTCTAGCAATGAATTTGTACTTCTTAATCCCTTCACCTTTTTCACCCATTCCCCCAACCCCCCTCCCAACTGGCAACCAACAAAATGTTTTCTGTATCTATGAGAATGTTTCTGTTCTACCTGTTCATTTTGTTTGTAGATTCCATTGTTGATAGATATGTATTCATTGCCATTTTGTTTGTTCATATATTTTATCTTTTTCTTCAAAAAGACCCTTCATCATTTCATATAATAACGGTTTGGTGGTGATGAACTCCTTTAACTTTTTCTTTTCTGGGAAACTCTTTATATGTCCATCGATTCTAAATGACAGCTTTGCAGGATAGAGTAATGTTGGTTGTAGGTTCTTGCTTTTCCTCACTCTGAATATTTCTTGCCACTCCCTTCTGGCCTGCAAAGTTTCTTTTGAGAAATCAGCTGACAGCCTAATGGGAACTCCCTTGTAGGTAACTAGCTGCCTTTCTCTTGCTACTTTTGAGATTCTCTCTTTGTCTTGAACCTTTTGCATTTTGATGATGATGTGTCTTGGTGTGGGCCTCTTGGGGTTCATCTTATTTGGGACTCTCTGTGCTTCCTGGACTTGTATGTCTGTTTCCTTCGCCAAGTTAGGAAAGTTTTCTGCCATTAGTGTTTCAAACAGGTTTTCGATTTCTTGTTCTCGCTCTTCTCCTTCTGGCACCCCCAAGATGCGAATGTTGGCACGCTTGAAGTTGTCCTTACACTATCCTCATTTTTTTGGATTCTTTTTTCTTTTTGCTGTTTTTTTTTGATTGGGGATTTTTTGCTTCCTTATATTCCAAATCGATGGTTTGCTCCTTGGAGTTACGTATTCTATTATTGAAGCTGTGTAAATTATTCTTTATTTAAGTTAATGCCTCCTTCAATTCTAACTGTGTATCCATGATTTCTGCCTGGTCCTTTTTTATGCTCTTGAGGCCCTCCTTAAGTTCACTGAGGTTCTCACTAAGTTCATTGAGCATGCTTATAAGCAGTATTTTGAACTCAGTATCTTTTAGGTTGCTTATCTCCATTTCACTTAGTTCTTTTCTTGGGGTTTTGTTCTGTTCTTTCATTTGGGACCTGTTTCTTTGTCTCCTCATTTTGGCTGCCTCCCTGTGTTTGTTTCAGTGTATTACTTAATAAGAGGTATGGGGCTAGCTGAGACCAGATGCTGCTTGTTTGAAAGAATTTAGGAAAAACCTGAAGTAGGATCCAAGACAGGCCAATCCTATGGTTAAGCAAGTGGCAACTGCTTGGGTGGGCCTGAAAGTTGGGCGGAGCGGGGCCTCAGGGAGTCAGCAGGGCGGGGCTACCAGTGTGAGCCAGGTTGCTGGTGTCCCAGATATGGCTTCTGTCTGCCGCCCCAGGGAAGGGCTCACCAAAGGAACAAAGACCTCTGACAGCACATTTGTCCCGGAGAAAGCCCCCTCTCCAGCCCTTGCTCCAGTGCCAAACAGCTCAGTTCTTCCCTGTGTGTCTCTGGCGCCCCTCGAGCTGCCTCCCCTCCAAGCTTAGAGGGAGAGAGTCCGATAAGTCCGTGCGCGGGCCCTTTAGGGAGCTGCCTGGGGCGCCAGCTGCTTCAGCCTCCCTGAGCCTCAGTTCCCGCTGGTTTTTCCAGCCAGAAGTGATGGGGATTCTCTTCCTGGCACTGGAACCTTGAGCGGGGCACCTGGTGTGGGACGGGGACCCCTCAGTCCTCAGGAAGGACCTTCCCAGCCGAGGTGTCCTCCTGATTTTTATCCGCCACACGTGGGTGTGGGACCAACCCCTCCGCCTCCGCCCCTCCTACCAGTCTCATGTGGCTGCTGCTTTCATTCCGTAGTTGTAGGACTTCCATTCAGCTTGATTTCAGGTGGTTTTGAATGATGGTTGTTCTGTAGTTGTAACTTTGATGTGGTTGTGGGAGGACGCGATACTGCGTTTACCTACCCGCCATCTTGACCGGAAGTCTCTCACTTTTTTATTTTTTAATTACTGCTCACATATATTATTGTATTAGTTTCAGACGTACACCCTAGGGATTAGATATTACATAACTAAGTGAGCATCCTAATAAATGTTGCACCCATCTGATACTATATGTATTTAATAGGATATTATTGTCTATATTCCTTATGCTATACTTTACATCCCCATGACTATTCTGTAACAGCCAGTTTGTACTTCTTAATCTCTTCACGTTTTTCATTCATTCCCTCAACCTTTTATCTGGCAACCGTCAAAATATTCTTTGTATCTATAAGTCTATTTCTGTTCTGCTTGTTGGCTTACTTGTTTTTTAGATTCAATTGTTGATAGGTATGTATTATTGCCATTTTTTTGTTCATATTTATTATCTTTTTTTCTTCTTAAAGAAGACCCTTTAATAGTTCATATAATCTGGTTTGGTTGTGATGATGTCCTTTAGCTTTTTCTTGTCTGGTAAGCTCTTTATATGTCCTTCAATGCTAAACGATAGCTTTGCTGGGTATAGTAATCTTGGTTATAGGTTCTTGCTTTTCATCACTTTGAATGTGTCTTGCCACTCCCTTCTGGCATGCAAAGGTTCTGTTGAGAAATCAGATAATAGTCTTACGGGAGCTCCCTTATAGGTAACTAACTAATTTTCTGTTCCTGCTTTTAAGATACTCTCTTTGTCTTTAACCTTTTGCATTTTAATTATATGTCTTAGTGTGGACCTGTTTGGTTACATTCTGTTTGGGACTCTCTGTGCTTCCTGGACTTGTATGTCTATATTTCCTTGACCAGGTTAGGGAAGTTTACTGTCATTACTTTTACAAATAGGTTTTGAATTTCTTGCTCTCGCTTTTCTTCTGGCACCCCATGATGCGATTTTGATATATTTAAAGTTGTCTTAGAGGCTCCTTACACTATCTTAATTTTTTGGGGTTCTTTTTGCTGTTCTCATTGGGTGTTTTTTGCTTTTTTGTATTTCAAGTCATTGATTTGATTCATGACTCCATTTGCGCTACTCTTGATTCCCTGTAAATTAGTCTTTATTTCAGTTAGTATATCCTTCATTTCTGACTGGTCCCTTTTTTGTGCTCTTGAAGTTCTCACTAAGTTCATTGAACATCCTTATAACCAATGTTTTGAACTCTGCATCCAGTAAATTGTTTGCCTCCGTCTTGTGAGTTCTTTTTCTGGAGTTTTGTTCTTTTCTTTCATTGGGACATGTTTCTTTGTCTCCTCATTTTGGCAGCCTCCCTGTGTTTGTTTCTGTGTATTAGGTAGAGCTGCTACATCTTTCAGCCTTGGTAGATTGGCCTAATGCAGATGTTCTGTAGGGTCCAGTGACATAGCCCAGCCCATCACCCAAGCTGGGTTCTTAAGGTGTGCCTTCTGTGTAGGCTGTGCACATCCTCCACTTGTAGTTGAGCTTGGATTGGTGTTGGCATGTCAGTGGGAGGCACTTATCCCCAGGCTGATCAGCTGCTAGGACTGGCTGAAACTACCAATGTCCAACCTTGTACCACAGTGGAGGATCAGCTGTGCAGCCACCCACCTCACAGAGCAGTACTTACTGCAGTGTGGCTCTGGTTCCCACTGAGTCTGCCCCTTGAGTGTGTCACTCGTGGAGGTGGTTCGGTGGTGCTTCGATGTGGTCTGAAGTTGTCGACTGGGTGTGCTGGCTCTGGGGCCTCCTGGAGGTGTAGGACAAGGTCAGCCATCAGCTGTGTTCTGCCTCGGGCCACCTGGCTTGAGGTACAAAGCAATCTGCAGATGGCTGCTACTTGTGGTAGTCTTCGAGGTTCCCAGGTGAGGCCATGCTGTGAGCCAGGGCTGGCTGCTACTGTTGGGCATGCGGCTTCTTAGTGAGAGATGCAAGGCACGCTGCGGCCGGATACTGCGTGTTTGAGAGATTTTAGGAAACTCTGGAGCATGAGCCAAGATAGGCCATTTGTATGGAAAAGTCACTGGAAACAGCTTGGGTGGGCCAGCAAGTTAGGTGAGGCATAGTCTCAGGAATCACCAAGGTGGGACAAACAGTATGAGCCAGGTTGATGGAGACTTGGACATGAAATCCATCTGCCAGCTCTGAGGGGGACAGTCTCAGAAAAGGATCAGTGGCCTCTGCCAGCACTTCTGTCTGGGAGAAAGCTCCTCTCTAGCTCTCGCCCTGATGCTGGACAATTCACTTCTTCCCCATATGTCTCTGGTGCCTTTCGAGCTGCTGACCTAGCACTGAAGCTCAGAGGGGAGAGTCCGAGTAAGTCCACGTGCGGGCCCTTTAAGAGGAATGCTTGGGACTACAGGAGCTTTCATCTCACTCAGCCACAGTCCCCACTGGTTTTTACAGCCAGTCATTATGGGGACTTCTCTGGGCACTGGAGCCCTGGGCTGGGGGGCCTGGTGTGAGGCTGGGACACCGAGCTCCTCATAGGGGGACCTTTGGAACTGAGATATCCCTCCCAATTTTTATTTACCTCATGCGCGACCAGCCATTTCCACGTCTTCACCCCTCCTGCTAGTCTCAGTGTGTCCCTAATTGCAGGACTTCAGTCACCAGATTTCAGGTGGCTGTGAATGGT